ATTCTATTGCATTCTCTTCTTCATTCTCTCGCAAACAGGCCTGACAATTTATTTTGTCTGCATTCACGGATACCATTTCCAAAACATCATTCAATGGAAAAAGGCTAGCCCACTCCTCCAGGTTTTCACATTCACCAAAACAAGGAATATACTCACGGCATAATGGACAATTAAATCCCAAATGTCCTTCCGTACCTGTGAATGAACTGATTATATAAGATGATAAACAGTCATGTCAAAACGAATGTGTACATGGTAAATATCGCGGAGTTTTGTATTTCTCGAAACATATTGAACACATTACAGCGTTATCTGTGGTTAGTCCTGATGCCATTTTATATCTCACACAGATGTCCTCCGGTCGGCTTGAGATCGGTGTTTTAGAAACGAAGGCAAAAACAGCCTTTCAAAACAGCTAGTATATGCTTTTGATATTCTTTGTTTTGGAAACGAGGCAAAAAATAAACCTTCGATACAGCCTGCTATCGGGAAAAAATTAAAGGGACTTGAATTGCATGGTCTGCACTTCATTTGCTTAGTCGATAATTGTATCATATTTTTCAGTAGTTGTGATATATGTTCATGATTTTCAAACGTGTTAATATTCTTGTCTAAAATTATTCCATCCTCCTGTGATGCCATAGGTTTTTGCAAAAACTGTTAATAAATAATTCCATGCCCAATAGAACAATATATTTTGAAAGAATGATTTTTCATAGGTGTAATGATAAATATTGTTAATTGAAAGAATTTGAAAAATGCATATTTCCTTTATTTAATCAATTATTCCATCTTTAAATAAATGTTGACAAGGGTAATAACTCCTGCTCAGGTAGCTTCATTCAGGCATTTTCTTTATTGTACATCTAATGTAAAATAGTTATCCTGGTAAACACAGTTCAAAATATCTCATAAGTAACAAGTATTTAGCAACTTTCAAATTCATAATTTTGCATTACAAATTTTGAATTTTAGCTGAAACTGTGTCCATGCCCCTTTAAAGGTACTAGAACGAGAAACATAACCACTCAAAAATTCAATGAAATCCGCCTCACTTGAAATTATGAAATTCCGTATTTTGCTGGAAAATCAATTGTGCAATGATGCTTTATTTTGTAATTTAAACTATTTCTTTGTGCCCCAATTATTATTGTGATATCAAATAGAATGTACGAAAATTTTTAAATAGGTTATTGTACCTTTACTTTACCAATAACCGCAATAAATTTCTTCAAACGATGATCTTCCTATTGTTATCACTATTCGTTACATGTATCTTCATATTTTTCCAGTATTTGCGTCATTACATATTCAGTTAATCATGTTTCTAGTAAAAAGGCTACACTGTAGAAAGTAATGCAATATACAATTTATTTTTGCCATAATAACATTTTGTTTTATTTTTCTTGAAGTTTTGAACACATCACTGTGGAAATTCTTATTGCCACAGAGTTATTCTTATTGCTACACAGTCTTATCTTGAATCATTAAAATTGATTATTTTCAGTTAAAGAGAAGTGCAGTCTTTAAAACAACTATTTTAGTTCGAAAACTTTAATGTTTTTCCTTTGGCTACAGACACAGCCCAACTTTCTTTCCTTGTCTACTTTCATAAAATCGGGCCTTGGAATGTCCTCAAAGATTCTTATAAGTTCACCATCAAAGGACAATTCGTGGACATTGTCACTCTCTTCCCGCTACATAGATATTGTCGTCAGGGTCTTTGTCATGACCACAAGGAGATTCCAGACTCTTGCTGCTGTAGGACCAGACTTTGTTCCCATAAAAGTCCATACATATTACCGTGTTTGTTTTTCTGTTACTGTATACAATGTGGTCGTTTGTAGCTATGATATTTTTTACACTAGTTCCTGTGTTGATTTCCTTTACTTTCGCCCCTAATAGATTTAGCTTTAAAATCCTGTCATCACATGCTACAAAGAAATATGATTTCAGATGTGCTATTCGGTACATTGCTCTTGAAACTCGTATTGTCTCCATCTTATCGTACGTACGAAGTGACCTTATTTCAATAACCCTTGAACCTGTACAACCTATTAATACTTCATTCCCCTTTTCTATCATACCAAAGGGTTTAGATAATGATTTTATTTCTCTGATACATTCCCAGCTACTGCTGTATACAAAACATGTATCATCGGAAGTTCCTAAACGGTGACTTTTTCTGGTAGAAAGAATAAACTCCCCATTTGATAGACAGGTTCCATCGCGAACATATCCTGCATTTATGCTGAATTCATGCAATAGGGACAATTGGGTCCTTTAAAGGTCATATGTAACATCAAGTTCTGACTCGGCAACGATGGCCTCCTGCAGACTTTTCAAATTCATGATTTCATTCAAGATAGGCGGTTCTATTTCCACAATATCTACTCTAATCTGGTTAAATTTGTAATTTTTTAGTTCATCTAATGTCTCCTTCTTTTACAAAACGCCATCACCATGTCATTCAATTCTTTTCTAGCTGCCTCGATATCTCTAGTACAGAAGTCTGTACACTGAATACCGTCAATGAAAGTTTCTAAACATTTCTCACAATTGGCTTTGCTTTTCTTTACAGCTTTAGACATTTTCGTTAGATACTCATTCTTTAAGCCTTGCAGATGATCAATGGCATTGTTGAAGGCTATTTCAGTTCTCTCCGTACAAAAATCGGCAGTTATTCAGTTGAACAACAAACCTTTTTTGCTCCGATTTTGCATCAGATAATTTGTTCCCTAGAATTTGCACATTTTCCAACAATCTTTCGGAATTTTCGGTCAATAATTTTCTAACATTTCCTGCAGTTTTGTCCATTGTATCGATACTGCCACATTTTCTATGTTCCAAACTCACACACAATGTGCAGCATAGTTCTTCGTTATCATTACAGAATAATTCTAACTTCCTATATTCATGTTTTGCACAGATGTTTCCATGGGTGGCTTTTGGAGTAAGAGGCATTCCTTTCATCTCGTTTATTGGAATTATCACATGATCAGGCGTTGTAAGTCCTCTTCGATGACTTTTTGTACATATTTTACACAAATGTTCTACACAGTATAAACAAAAATCATTGGCAATCTCCTCTTTATTTTCTCGCAAACATGCCTGACAAAATGTAACTTCTGATTTAACTGATAATTTTTCCAAAATGTCATTCTCGGGAAATAGTTCCGTCCACGTTTCTGGCGTATGAGTCTCTCCAATGCAAGGAATAAACGTTCGGCATAATGGACAATTAAAACCCAAACGAGATTCCGTTCCCTTGCAGGCTGTACGGATGTAAGAAGATAAACATCCGTGACAAAAAAGAATGCGTGCACGGTAGATATCGTGGAATTTTAAAGTTTTGGAAGCAGATTGAACACACGGTGATTTCGACAAAACTAAATCCTGATCCCATAATTTATTAAATCCTGTACGTTTGTCACTATTTTCACAAAGAGGCAAATCGTGCAAAGGGGTTTCTTCACAATGGAAAGCTGTTCGGGTCAAAAGTACACCTTATTCGATTTTTTTTGCATTAATTTTTTTTTTAAGTTTACAAATTAATGATAAATGGATAACATCCTAGAGCATAAAATTTGTAGAATATTAATGCGTCTTAAAAGATGTATAATTACATTATAAATCATATTTCAATGATTCGATACTTTTTTAATTTGCATTTTCTCAAATTCAATTTATTTTGCAACTTCAAAACAATGTTCATAACTTCTATGTCTTACTCTAAGTATGAGTAATTGGTCTGATACATCAATTTTTTTTATAATAATAGTGGCTTTATAACACTATAGAAAATCTTCATATTATACTAGTATATATAGGATATACCCGATGGGTTCAGGTTTGAAATTAGGGAAATAATAAATTAACGATACATTAAATATATTTAAATACGCAGCACAGTTAAGGTTACAAATGGAAATATCGGCAATTTTTTAAGATAAAAAATACACACTTTATTAGGATGGGCGATTCTTTTTAGGACTTCACTGATATCAAACAAATGTAATGTGGGTTAAATCTACATGTTGGGGACATTTAAATTTTTTATTTAGATTTTTCATGTGATGTCGACGTCACAAGATTTTAGCAATTTTACTTGCAGTTTAGAGGTCATTTATGAATTCCAATATTGCAAGGGCATAACCAAGTTAAAAATCTTAGTTCAATTTATAATCCTTTTCAGCACTGTATGTAGTTTTTGAAAAGTGCTGCGAACCAATATAGATTCCCTTTTTTTAATTGCTAAAATTTAATTTGTTGGACGGCAGGTTGAATATTTTGCTGGTCAATCACATTAAATATAGCTATTATCAATTTATTTGAAAGATTTCATGAGGTTCACAGCACTTTTCAAATATCTTAATGCTTCTTCAGTTCATGTGTAAAAACTTGACAAGATACATTGAGGGTATGCCCTTGCAATAAATCGATTTATTAGGGCCCTTCCATTACCTTTTCAATGAACCTGCATACAAACACACGACAGTATCACTTGTCTAGAGAATGCACGGACAGTTTTTAAATAAAATACTAAAATAGATATCGCATCCAATTTAACGGCCTTTTATTTCACTGCAAATAATATTTTATTTGAGAACAAAAGACATTTTTCATTGTACAAAATGTGACTTGATCAGCGATGCATCGTTTATATACTGATGTGTGGGATTTAACAAACAACAAAACTGCACGTAATAGTAAGTTTGTATGTAGTATACAGCTATCCAGATGTTTGAAATAGCAAATAATATCATTTTGTGGTATTTTGAAGACCTTATATTATGTGTGACGTCATAGTAAACATTTCCCGTACAAATTAGGTCCCGCCTCCTTGCTGTAACATTAACTGTGCTGCGTAACCTTCATTGTTGGAAAAGCGAAGAGCTCAAGGGTAGGGGTCCTCAAACGAGGAAAGGGTTTGACTTTGAAATACAAAAAACGCTACACAAAACAATTTTTTTTGTATGCAGTGTCAATCTACATTGTATAACGTGCCTCATTATCTTTTGGATCAATGTTTGTCGTGATCGTATCAAATTATCGCTACTTGTGTTTCCATACTACAATGTACGTGTATCTCGTCGGGTGACACGAGAGCGAAAGTAGAAAAGAAGATCTCAACAATCTAAAAAGACTATGGCAACCTCGCTAAAAGATATTCACGTTGGGGAAGATGTAACGTTGTGTTCAATATGCTTTGAGAAATTTAAAAAACCGAGGTATCTCCCTTGTTCTCACTCGTTTTGTCATAGCTGTTTATCTTCCTACATTGTCAGCGTTTGTACGTCTACGGAACCCCGTTTGGGTTTTCACTGCCCTTTATGCCGTGAATACATTCATTGTAAAGACACAGTTGAAAAGCCAGAAGATATTATAAACGTATTTCCTGAAAATCACCTTCTAGAAAAGATTCTTGAGAAAGGTGATCAGTTGAATTGTGAGCCTTGCCTAAGAGACAATGAAGAAGAAAAAGCGACTACCTATTGTGCCACGTGTATGGAGAATTTATGTCAAGTTTGTACAAAATGTCATAAGAAAGGCTTGACCACAAAGAGCCATAGACTGTATCCTCTCAGTGAAATTAAATCAACAAGCATTGTACCCGATTCAGTTTCAAACTTAACCTGCGTAAAACATAAAAACAGAGAGATAGAATTATTTTGCAACGACCATGAAGCATTGTGTTGTACAATGTGTGTAAGCACAGAACACAGAAAATGTGACAGCGTTGATACTGTTGAAATAGCTGCACAATCTTTAAGAGAAAGTGATAAACTAAGCTGTCTGTTAACTGACGTAATGAACCTAGAAAAGAAGCTGACAGGTTCAAAGGCAAGGCAAGAAAAAAACATTTCTGAAATAGAAGATTGTGTGAATAACATGACCGAAAATGCTGAAAAGGAAATCAAATGTATAATGGACCATTTAGAAAAGCTTAGGAATAATCTCGAACAAGAAATATCTGAGGCAGTTAAAACTAGTAAAGAAAAACTGTGGAAAAATTTGGAGATTGTCACCGACGGGATATCTTGCGCAAAGTCTTGTGCTGATAAAGTTAAAAAATCCATGGAAAAGGGTAGTGATGTTGAATTGTTATTGGAATATTACTCAGCAAGAGCCACTCAAGTGCAATTAAAATCTATTAAGTTCACAGAGAAATATATAAGGATATCAGAAAAAAAATCTGAAATGTTACAAAAAATGAAAGACATTAAAACTCTGTCACAGATAGAGGCTTTTGATATAGAAAAAGACGTTTTTCGTTTGTGTGAAAAAGAACTGTCTTTTAAACAGGAATTTAGTCCTTCTAATGCCAATATTCGCAGTGGAACTTTTCTTTCAAATAGCAGATTTATTGTTGCAAATCATAAGCTTGAAGGTCATTGTAATATTTATGATGAAGATTTTACTTGCATTAAAATAATCGATGGGTTGAGACAGCCTTTTGCAGTTGTGGAATATGGGGATGACTTGTTCGTTACTTGCTGTGACACACGATCTATCAAGGTTTTCTCATCTTCTGACTTCATGGAAACACGAAATATTGACCTAGATATATACGTTTACGGAATAACACATAAAAATGATGCCTTTTTTGTGGCATGTGGAGACAAAATTATAAAGATTAATAAAAATGGAAACATACTAAATGAGTACAAAACGGGTTTACGTTTTGTTCATCTCCTTGCATTGAACAGTGTGGATCTTGTTTACAGTAACAAGGAGAAAAATACAGTAATTGCAATGAATGATAATGGCAATAATCTTTGGGAATACAAGTCATCAAACTTAAAGGAGCCATATGGACTTGAAAGGGATAGTGCTGAAAACATTTTTGTTGCTGGTACAGAGAGTAGAAACATCCACGTTCTTCCCAGATAGCATGACTATGTTGGGCCAACATTTGTTAAAGGTTGTATGGTTGGCGTTGGGGGAACAACGTTGGGCCAACGTTGGACCAATGTTACCTTCTCGACCATGACGGAATTCCTATGTTGGCTCAACGTTGGTCCAACGTAAGCAACTTCCATTCACTTTAGTTTCCAAAGAAGGAAGGGTCGTGGCGTTGGCCCAACGTTGGACCAATGTTTATAATACACCCTTAAAGAAAGTGTATTTACAAGTTGGTAGTAATATGTTGTCCCAACTTTGGCCCATTGTTTGTAATACACCCTTAAAGAAAGTGCCTTATCAAGTTTGTAGTAGTATGTTGGCCCAACGTTGGCACAATGTTTGTAAAACATCCTTATAGAAAGTGCCTTATCAAGTTGGTAGTATTATGTTGGCCCAACGTTGGCCCATTGTTTGTAATACACCCTTAAAGTGCGTGTCCTATCAAGTTGGTAGTAGTATGTTGGCCCAACGTTGGCCCATAGTTTGTAATACACCCTTAAAGAACGTGTCCTATCAAGTCGGTAGTAGTATGTTTGCCCAACGTTGGCCCATTGTTTGTAATGCACCCTAAAAGAAAGTGCCTTATCAAGTTGGTAGTATTATGTTGGCCCAACGTTGGCCCATTGTTTGTAATACACCCTTAAAGTGCGTGTCCTATCAAGTTGGTAGTAGTATGTTGGCCCAACGTTGGCACAATGTTTGTAAATTGTAATACACACAAGTGTAATTTTGTTTAGGTCTTTCAAAGATGGGATATTTATATTGGGTCAACGTTGGCCCAATTATTTTACTGCCAACTAATTGATGGTGTCAATTTTATAATTAGCTGCTGAGCTTTACGTTGGGACAACGTTGGCACATTCTCAAATAATTAAGAGGACTTTCTATGTCCATGCTTATCATTGGATGACTGCTTTTGTTTAGATATGATATTTTCAACATTTTAACTTTGCACTTAAGTTATCAAGCTCCAAAGAGTGTTTTATTCTAGTTTTTGAATTGTGTACATGCTTATTTATTTGTAATAACCCAGATAGCAGAACACCTTTGGCCCAATCTTACATTATGGTTCTATTATCTATGTTGGGTTACCTTGATTGGGCCAACAATGGCCCAACATGGAATATTGATAGCTGGTTATGAATAATAGTTCGCTAATGTTGGGCTAACTGTTGGCATCATATAAAACTATTATCATGAGAAAAAATATTTGTTTGGGGATTGGCATCGGCCCTACGTTGGCCCAATATACCATGAATCTGACTGAGCATCATGGGTAGACAACAACCGGGCTACTTGTAATATGCGCGCCATTTTTAATCTGACACGAGCGTAATGAGACTGATACCTTGCATATCTGCATCCACTTTGTAAGTATTAATAATATGTTTGCCTCGGCACAGCTGAATTAACGTTTAGTTTTTAAACGATTTCATGTACAAATCTGTGTAAATCAGACACGGGGAAGTGCAGAGGCCAGGTGCTGTTGGGTCAACACTGTACAGATAGCATGCTAACATTGGGCCAACGTTGGGCCAATGTAATCGGTTACATCGGGCCAATGTTGGCAAATAGCATTGACCCAATTTAAGTTTGCTCATCGGCCCAATGTTGGCCCAATATAGAGTGTTATTTCTACAGATATTGGCCCAACGTTGCGTCAACATTGGCCCAATGAATGTGACATTGTTGGCAAAACGTCAACAAGAACATTATGCCTATGTTGGCAGATGACGTTAGCCCAGTGTCATTTTTCTCATTTGCCCAATGTTAGCCCGATATATTGGACCAACATTGGGCCAATGTGTATAAACATTTAATTGTTACAAATCTGTATATTAACAAATCTGATCGTCTCTACAATCAGAAATAAATCTACAACCAATCCTACTTGAAAAATCAAGCTAGCTAAAATAAATTTAAAATTCTTATAATTTATCAAAACAAATAAATTATCAGTGATTAAATTTTTTGTTTCTATACAAGAAAAATAAATGAAAGTATAAAAATGTGTTTTGATACAGTTAAAACAATAAATAATTTGCTCCTTATTTAAATTGAAATTTGTGTCTAGTAGAATACATTTCCGAAGTCTACCACTTAATATACTTATATACACTTAACGTCGAGAACATGATCAAACATTTTGAAAATGTTGAATGTGCTGAAGTTAAAACAAAATTTATTCAGTACTATAAATAAATTGGGTTCTTTCATTTAAAATTTGTTCAGTGTAACGACAAATTTTCATTACACGTATTTTATATGGGGCAACATTGAATCAAAATTGTTGTGATGATGATTATCAAGCGTATAAATATTATGCATAAATGCCTTCATCACGCAAGCTAATCACTTAATCACACCATGAAACAAAAAAGACGGTTATTCCTTAATTGACAACTTGAACATATAATGATATACTTGTAAATTTAATCGTATGTTTTTTATTCTTTGCTGAGAAAAGTAACAAATATATTAAGTACCAAATATTACAATTTTAGTGCTACTGGAGATTCTAAAAAGACATGGAGAACACAATCAAAGAATAGCTAAGGTATGCCAAGGACAGGGATGAAACGGACAGAGAAGAAAAGACGAGAGGAGGAGACTCGGGAAGATTAAATGGAGACTAAGGAGAGGGATCAGATGGAAAGTGGCAGTGCCTAACTTTTTTCTGTAATATAGTGTGACATACCTGTAGTTCTACCCTTTTTTGTGTCTGGTTGTCGGTTACATCACGATGCAGATGCCAGAAACATTTTATTGTGTAAGTAAACAAAATGACGGGATTCATTTTAGTATTATTTTAAGAACAGGAGGGCTTTGTTTATTTGTTAGACGTGCTTATTGATACCTTTAATTTACTGAACTTGTGCATAATGTACATCAGAGAGGGAGTATACAGTCATGTAACCCTCCATGTATCGCTTGAAGTGAGCATCAACTTTTAATTCTTTATTAATGTTTTCTTCATGCACTTAGCAATAAAATTATAGTATGTTATAATTTAATTTTATGTTTTGATTTCTTTTTCCTCAGTTTCTTATATTTGTTGATGGCAATTCTATGAGATATTGAGAATATGTATTAAACTATTAATCTATCATATATAGCATATATAGATAGTTTTCAAGGGCTTTTACCATTAAACTGTACTACAAAACTAGTATAACCTTATTGTATATATTTGTTTGTCAATTTTGAGGACAAATGGCCAACCAGTGAAGAGCAAATGAGTTGTCATGCTGGAGAGCCAATAAGATACAAACCAACGTCGGCCCAAAAATGATGTTTTCCTAATATTGAAAGAATATGTGGGTCCAACAATGGCTCAATGATATCCGTTCGTTGGTCCAACAACAAGCCAACAAGTTGGTCTGATTAAGGGCCGATGAGCAAATTACCGTTGGCCCAACATTAGTTGCTTACAATGGCCCAACTGTACAAAAATGACGTTTTCCCAACATTGAAAAAATACATTGGCCCAACAGTGGCCCAATATTAACTGTTACATTGGCCCAACAATAAGCCAACAAGTTGGTTTGATTAAGGGCCGATGAGCAAATTACCGTTGGCCCAACATTAGTTGCTTACAGTGGCCCAACTGTACAAAAATGACGTTTGCCCAACATTGAAAAAATACATTGGCCCAACAGTGGCCCAATATTAACTGTTACATTGGCCCAACAATAAGCCAACAAGTTGGTTTGATTAAGGGCCGATGAGCAAATTACCGTTGGCCCAACATTAGTTGCTTACAATGGCCCAACTGTACAAAAATGACGTTTGCCCAACATTGAAAAAATACACTGGCCCAACAGTGGCCCAATATTAACTGTTACATTGGCCCAACAATAAGCCAACAAGTTGGTCTGATTAAGGGCCGATGAGCAAATTACCGATGGCCCAACATTAGTTACTTACAATGGCCCAACTGTACAAAAATGACGTTTGCCCAACATTGAAAAAATACACTGGCCCAACAGTGGCCCAATATTAACTGTTACATTGGCCCAACAATAAGCCAACAAGTTGGTTTGATTAAGGGCCGATGAGCAAATTACCGATGGCCCAATGTTGAATTCAAACAGTGGCCCAACATAAGGAGCGTTGTTGGCCCAACAAAGGTCCAATAACATCCTGCTATCTGGGTTTCCTGTGCTGGGGAGGTCATTAGAGTGTTTAGTTATATGCCAAAGCCCGTCTCTTTAGCAGTAAATGAAAAGAGACTCATATGCTGTGTTTGCAGTGGAAACGAGAAGATTAAAGTTAATGACCTGAAATAGAGCCACGAAAAAAGTTTTTATCAGTGGTCATGTTGAGAAGTGGTCTGGTCTACCTTTTCAATTTTGCTGTGTGATTTGTAAATGATGAAAAGAAATGCAGTGAATCAATTTTCTTTTTACAATACCATTCACATCTTAGAGGGCAAATAAAGATGTATTGCGTAAGGCTGTTATACTGTACAATTACCAGCAATTGTACTCTAGAATAAATTTATATATATGAATTTGTATATATTTTCCTGTTATTGTATTCAATAAATCTAGTCTTAGACATGCAACCTTTATCTAATTCCTCTTATTTTTTAAATTTCCTTTTAATTAATCTTCAGTAACGTCACCTTCTACATTACAAATGTCGAGAAGTATATATTTAATGTTTAGTATGAGATATTTGATACTACGTATATCAGTTAAACTTTCAATTACATGTATTACCTGTATAATTTTTAAGATACATTTGTACATGTACCTCCTTAGTTTTTCATAGCTATTAAATTTTTCTCTGTATTTGAGTTTTTTTTACTTAATATTGAGTATAATTCATTGATGTAAAAGACGCAAAAATTGCATAAAATAATGCATGATTCATATACATAATATGCATGAAATACAATTCAATCTTGATACTTTTTTGAGAATTTCAAAAGACCATTTTACAAATTACAAGATAAAATTCAAAAAATGAATTAATAAATTCAA